TCTTATAATACCTCATTACTAAATTTTGTTAATTGTGCTCCTATAATATAATTCTTATTATATTTCGAACAACACTTTTTATTATATATTGTATTGTAAATAATTATTGTATTATTAAATGATTATAATAAAAGATAATATTAAAAAGTTATGCAATGTAATTATATTAATTATTTTATTGTATTTCGCTAATTATAATGCAATATGATTTTAGCGAAATATAATAAAATAATTAAAGAAAAAATGAGAGATATTAAAATTAAAAAATAAATTTAAAACATACTTACCTGCAAAAACCGACTAAATTTATTAGTAAAATAAAAATGTAACATAAAATATACACAGATTAATTATAATGTCTGAATACACGGTAGTGTCTTGGCACAAAGTTTTAGAGGGACCGGAAAGTAATGTCGTTTTTTTCAAAATGTCTTTGGCACGAACTTTGAAATACACAATGAGCTGATAAATGACAAACGAATATCGACATGCGACAAACGACATTACATAGTATATAATATTATAATTATATATTATAAATATAATTATAAGAATAAGAATGGGTTAGAGAGTCTACAATCAGAGTAGAGCCTACAATCACGTATCTATGTTGTTCAGTGCTGTTGCACCTTCACAGGAAATTAAGGACAAAATTATGATATTAAAGAGAGGACTTTGATAAAAATAAAAATCTTTTCGTGTTTATTTCTTGTTATAATAAGAAAAAGGCAAAACATCAGTTCTTAAAATCTGAACGTGAAAATAATGTGTACAACACGGAATCTTTCGCAGATATGAACGATGAATCTTCTCAAGTGCCAACACGTGCCCACACAAAAGAAGAAATATATTTCGTTTAATAATGGATACTCTATATATGTCATACAGATTTTGAATTATTCGACTTATACAATGTCCATAAAAAGAAATCAAATGTCGCATATGTCTACATTGATTACAATAGTTAATATTTTAAAATATACATTTTATTACATATATACAGAATTGAATAGAGTTATAAATTTCGCATCAAAGAATTATTTTTGAGATTTTCCAGGTAAATTTCAATTTATTGAGCTCACTTAACGCACCTATCTTTTTTAAGATCACATTACTGTTCCCAATTTGACGGATAGATATATCGAACTTAATAGAACCTGATTTTACTTTGATTAGAACAAATTCCACAAATCCTTATCTTTTATCTATTTTTCCACTTTTTGTTTTCCACTATTTTACTATTTGACCCTGTTTAAATTTACACATGTATTCATAAAGCAATTTTTATTTTTATTTTTATTTTTAGATTCTCTGTTTGGGAAACAAATTTGAATGTAAATTTTTTGCATTATAATTAAATATCGTTTTATCTGGATTATAATTAATAGCATTAAAAAACACTAGTTTGTTATTTGCAATAATATTATACTATCTTTGCATATCATAGTATCACAGAAAATATATTTCGCAGTATTTTACATGTATATTGCAGAGATTTTTGCTTACAAATAAACGTAATTTTTCTAATAATTATGGTAATTGCAAATTATATATAAAACGGTTTTATTGTCTTTAATCAATTATTTATATAACGATTTTAATCATTTACAATAATATAAAGAGTTCAGACATACTTGTTTATATATATTGATAGTCCTAGCATTTCTGTAAAAAATGAAGTCAATAACTAATTTTTTGTGTCAATTGTAATTATAAACGAAATTGATCATATTACATTAATTGATAATTTATAAATGAGATAATTGTCAAATGTCGAATAATAATTGTGAATTGTCGAATACAAATAAAACATTTTACAATTACGTTTTACAAACGTTATTTTTGAGGATTTTTCTGTTTTAACATGCATAGGTATCTCAATAATAAAAGAAAGTGATGTTTTTGCTTGTTCATAGTTAATAGGATTCATGAAATTTAATTTAGATCTTGCGCAACTTAGATTAAAATATAATAACTGATAGACAAAATATTTTTAATTAGATTTAGAATTTGGAAGGCAGATGGTAATACTAACATTATTTTTTTTTTCAAAACATGTGAAAAGATCGACAATATATTAGTAATATAATAAGTTATAACTAAAACAATCATACGTAATCATTGTAACGAAAAATTTAAAAAATAAATTTTATAGATTATCAATAAAAAAATATTATTTGTATTATTTTTATATTATCAATAAAATAAATTTTATTGATAAATTATTCATATCAATAAAATTATTTCAATAATCGCATAAATATAATTATGCGATTAATTACATGATGAATTACATGATCTTTCTTTCATCTGTATGTTTGTTTCTTAACACTAGTGCAGATTCGATCACACTTCTAAAATTTAAGCGTATTTGCGCGTAACTCTGTCTTTAAGTTTTCTCTTTTTCGGAAGGCAAATGGTTGTAAATTTAATTATATTCACGGAGTAAAAAGGAGATCAAATTCAAGCGGCCGATCCCAAAAAAAATGGGCCTCGAATTTGGTCTCCTTTTTATTTCGTGATTATATTATTTGGTCTATACAGAAATAATCGCATTGCTTGTTTTATACTGATATTTTACTTGTATTCCTATCACTAGAATTGTCGCATTTATGAAGTTCTGTTGTCTCTCCTGTACATTTTGACGGGCAACCGTCTTTTATCGCTTCTGGTTTTATTTCAATATCATAAATCTTGGTTTTCGATGATGATTGCTCGTATTTGCATATCACAGCATACATATCGCCACCTAAACGAAGTGCCAGCCATCGATTCTTTATGATCGCCAATTTCAGACATTCGCACTTCATTTTAGCATTAAAATTCGTGTGTAAAGTTCTACCCATTCCCTCGATGACTATAAGATCTACATTATGCTCGACCATTGCAAGACATAGATCCAAATTGAGACGACTGTTAAAATTGAAATAATATTAGTTAATCAATGTTATTAAAGTATCATTAATTAAAGTCAAACTTATAATTGTAGTTATGAAATATTCTATTATATGTTATGAAATATTCTATATATAACATGAATACCTGAAATCCAAACAGGGACCTGCTTGTGCAGTTTCCATAGCAATGAGAGTATTGTCTTCCAGCGCTTGTCTGATAACATTACAAATTTTCGCAGCGTCTCGCAATGTGACGACCAATTCAGGATACGTTACATCATTCAAAGCTGGCATAGAATTAGCACACAATATTACCTAAAAGCATGAAAAACAATTAATGCAATTAAATAAATTTTTTAAATTATATAATAAATTCGTATTAAAAAATATATAAATATTATATAATATATACATAATAAATTTGTTTTTTAAAAATAGTTTGAAAAGTATAATTCAAATATGGATAATATTAATAAAACTAACTTTAGTTCCTCGTTGCAACAAATCTCGTGCAAATGGCAGAATTCCAAGAATTATATCTACACCACTATTATCAACAAAGATAGCTGCACATTTGTGAACTGGTCCATTCTGTAATCTGTGTATCCAATCATCTAAATTATCCTCTAGCCATGGTCTGCCTATTTTATTTCAAATTTCAAGAATTATGATAGTCTTCATATGATAGAATATTATTTTAAAACATATCAAGAGTAGAAAAGAATTTATTACATAATTCTCGTAACACTAAATATTACAATATTAATTTTTTTTTTAGTAACAATAATTATTGAATTACCTGGAATTTTCGCTTGAGCTTCTTCAAAGCCAAAATCATTAGTTTCCAATAGCTTTGCAACATCTTTTGCACCCCAATCAAATATATTGCCACTGAGAACGCCAAGAATCAAAGCCTTTATCTTTTCTACATCTTCTAACTTGTCTATAACAATTATACGTTCATGTAGGTGTCTTAAAGCTTCTTCGTTCTCCTTTCTTTTTTGCTGTAAACAAAGCATGCATATAAATTTCAGTTTGATACGTTCATTTCGTTTCATTTTAAAAATATTGAAGAAAAAAAAACAAACTAGAGATACTTACATGTAGATACGGATCTGGAAAATCGAATTCTTTCATGCAATGCTCGATGGTGTCCAATAATATTCTAACCGTAAGTGCCCCATATGCACTGTAAGTTTGTATTACTTAATAACTCGATAAATAAATTGACTTTTTTAGTACGATTAATTTTAGTATTTGTCATAGCGATGGAAAACTTACAATGGTTGTGCGTGAAGATAGTGTAATCTGTTTATGTATTTCTCTTTTAATTTCGATCCTCTGTCTTTTGCCGTTGGACTAAATGGTTGACTATGAATAGCTCTCGACACAAATTTATCCACAGATTCTTCAAAACATTGCAGCCAATAATCTCTATAAACAGAAACATTTTAGTTTTTATGTAATCGTAATTGTTGAAATTAAATAAAAAGTCTCACCTTGCTTCTTTATCCTGAGCGAGGTCTGTAGTGTCAGGAATATAAGTTGCGGGATCTTCCAATAGCGGACAGAATGTAACAGCATATTCCGCTTGATCGATTTCTAATTGATCGACTTTAATTCCGAGGTCGGTTGATACGGAATCTTTAAAACTCGATGACCCGGCATAATTTTCTAACCAGCTGCATTTGTCTTTCTGTTCGGTGCTGTATAAATATGCTCCAATCGCACCAAGGTAACCTTCATGGCGAAGAAAGAGAGGCGTTACCCTATCCTAAATAATAGATATGTAACAGTAACATAAATTTTACAGAAATGCACAATTTAGAAAAAGACATTTTGCACTTTGATGCATATACAGTACCCTCCATAAGTTTGGGAACATCCTACATTTTACAGGAAAGCCATTACATGACAGCGATCTATACATGTGTTTGGTTTAAATACTTCGTGAGACGTCTAAATGACAATAAACATTTCTCTACAACACCTACAAGCTTGTACTTATACACCTATAAGCTTGCCGAAAATATGTTAAACAATCATTTCACAGCATCGAAGCGTTCAAGATTGAATTTCGCACTTTGGTCTATTGTTGTCTATGTATATTGTCACTTGTTATGCAACATCGTACTTGTGTTCGTTATATATACGCAGATTATTTAATTGTAGTTTAATAAAAGTTTCTATAAAAGTGGTAAATTATTTGAGTCGCAAGTTGATTTCAGTCCGTAAAAATTTTAAGATTTTTACTTCGTAAAAATTGTAAAATGGCACCGACGAATCAAATTTCGTACGAATCGCATTTTAATTAAAATTCCATATTTTAATAGCATGTTATTAAATCTTTAATTGAAAAAAGACGAAACAAAAGTACATACGTACATTATAGATAACGTTATTATGTTATAGATAACGTACGTATGTGTGTCTTTTATTTTGTCTTTTTTCAATTAAATAATTATTTACAAACCTGTAAAACGTAGGGTATTCCCGAACTTATGGTATTTGTAGTTAATTATTTAAATTATTTGATTCAAAGATATATAATAGTTAGATCCATCAATAAAACATTGTAAAAGATCAAGAAAAAATTAACATAATGACTAACACGAGACCAATATTTGATAGAATATGAGATGGTATGCATTGATAGTGGATGGTTACGAAGGAAATAACCACCAAAGTAAACCCTGTCCATGTTGTAAACAGTTGCATACAAACTAGCTATGTGTCCAATATCATTGCTAATGGTGAACAGTAAGCTTCTTGCAAGATCAGCTTCAGAAAATTTTGGCTGTCCTAGAACGTTATTAATATAATTAATATTAAAACTGCTATTGCGTAAATTTCATAGATATCTGATCTTTCAGATATTTGCTCATGATATTTTAACACTTTTCAATTGTACACGAAAGAATATATTCATGCTTCTAAAAATTAAATTAATGTACTAGAAATTTTTGATGTAAACTTTTTTGACTCATTTATATCTTGCTTACCGCAAGCCACCGCTTTGCCAAAAGATGATGCAATAAGCTCTCCAGGTAAACCTTGGGAGGAATAATCGCCCCCATAAATATCTTTCACTAACATATCTACATTACGGTGATCTCCTCGTTCTGCAAGTTGCAGCAATTCATCAAAGTCCTAGTAGGGTGTTTTTAAAGTCATTGTTTTAATACATATCTATATATACAATTCACACGACTCAACGGTACTACAATGGAGCAGAATCTTCTCATACAATTAATTTCTTATGATTTTATTTCTAGATATTTGTAAAGATTTATAAAGACACCTAATCCATCCAAATATAAAGATATTGATACATGCACTTGATATAGTGATAGTAAAAAGAAATTAATCTAAGAGATTATTAAGGTATAATCTAAGAAATTATGTAAATTCTGTACCTTTCTTTTTGTAAGTAACGATCCCAATCCCCAAAATGTACCCCCTCCCGTGGCTGTACCTCCGACTCTTTCAAATACTTCATCTGATTCTACCTATAAAAATAAAAAAAATGTCTACAAGTAAATAAATTTATTCAGAATAACTTATTACTAAGTAAGTTTATTAAATATCTATTGCTTACTTTAAGAATACTGACGCCACTGCCAACATTAACCAACAAATATGGAAATATGTTAGGTCCAGCTTTTTGAAACTTATATTCTGGATTCGCATGTCGGTGATATTCAAATGCTTCACATGGTATATTTTTAAGTAAGAAATTACAACCCTTTATCAGACAGTCTATCTCGTCTTTCTTGTCAACTCTGCAATTTTATCTTATCAATCAGTAAACATCATATCTCAAGAATTTCATGTTTCACCAAAAATTAAAAATATGAACTTCAATATTTCGTATTGTAAGATACTTGATAATGAAAATTTGATTAGCAAAGAGAAAGGTTCAATACAAGGTCAAAATACAAGAATATACTCACAATAATCCTAATTTGTCTTGCAGCAATGGGGTATATTTGAATGCTCCACCACCAGTAACTTTAATACTTTTCCCATGAAATCGTTCAACATCCACTAAATTCTGTTTGACAAAGTTTAAGCAGTTCTCGATATATCTTGTCTCAAACTTAACAAAATGCAGTCTATTACCCTCGAATACTTTGTATGCTAGTTCTCCACTGTTCCCTAAACCTTCTGCATCCTCATAAAGTGCTTTGCGATAACTTACTGTTGAGTAATAGGCAATTTTGGTTAACGACAATCCTGAAATAATAATATATAATACCTAAATTTGGATAGAATGTAGAACATAACAAAATGGTAATAACTTAAGAATAAAACTTAATAATAAAATTCATTAAATAATAAAGGAACATTATTATAAATTCATAATTCAACTCTTTTTTTCAAATTTGACAATCAAAATAAAATTAAAATTATTTGGATATAATAGAATCAAAAATAATGTAATATGTAAAATATAATTTTTAAGATGTGATATAAAATCCAATATAAATTTTATTCTATTTCTTCTTTTATTATTATTTTAATAAGAAAAAAATCTTTTGAAAAAAGTCCTTATGCAGAAAACATTACTATATATAATATATTTGCAAATTTATGCTTCCTTTTATTCATGTTAAATGATAATTGTATGTACAAATAGAAGCGTAACTACATAATTTAGTATGCAATATGCTGCTAACGAGTATTACGTTACAGTACTGTGATAGGTCAACTCGAGCGACAATTCAATGACGATTACTTGATCTCATGTAACGGTCATGTTAACCTCTCGAGGGATCAGGAACCGCGTGAGGGACTAATAAGTAATTAGTAATCCCAGTCTCAGGAAGATATCCGGTCGACGACGTACCAATGTCTATGGCGAAGGTTTGCGCATTCTTCAAATTGGCGAACACCTCGACAGCAGGTGGTAATTTCATACATCGTGGATGCGACCGTTCGTCGCTGTTGTTCTTCGCTGCCATCCCCACGTCTACCATCTACGAATAATTCCGTTCGGTTTCTCTCACGATTGTGTGACTTCGCGACACTTCTACTCTACGGAGCATTTAACGCGACTGGCAGGTTGGCGAACTTGTTTACATCACGATATGATCACGGTATTATCAGCCTGATAAACCTTTTCCGACATCACCAACGTAAACGTTTAACTCGAGAGGGAAAGATCCCCTTCAAGCCTTCAAGGATTTTCGTGTTTTTCTCTCTTCCTCTCTCTCTCTTCCTCTCTCTCTCTCTCTCTCTCTCTCTTTCTTTCTTCGTGTAGCGCAACGAGGACTGTGACCTACGTTTCGTTTCATATAGAGGTGCATGATGTATCATTTTATCTTTTTTTAATATTCGGTGAACAAGGATAAAATGATGTGCATTATACGTGAAACGGAACATACCTATTTACGTTTATTCGAATCCAGACGGCACAAACCCACAAACTGCCGATTTAAAAATGGACATCATGCATGACAAATGTTGTATACATATGTATATGTAAATATATGATATTAATATATATAGTGTTTCGTAAATTTTTATCAATTGCTTTTGTAGATAGAGTGAACTAAACTGATTGTGAGTCTAAAAGTCTTCTACCATTTTGCAATTTTCACAATGGTTAATGAGAAATATAATATCTTGTTAACCATTGCAAAATCCAAACAACACAAAAAGATTGCAGAAACATTGCAGAATGATTTCACTGAAACGTTGCAATATTGCATGGTAGTTACGAAACGTTGTTGAATCATTGTTGCAAAATTCCAACAATGTTAAGATATCCGCTTTTTGTTATATTGCAACAACGTTCTAGCAATATTGCAATATAATGTATTTGGATAAATTTTTTACGAAGACTCTAAAATGAAAACTATTTCTAAACATATATCTCACTAACTTTAATTTTTCTACAAATCGTATTTCTATGATATGTGCTTTTCAAAAGCAATTTTTTAAATAATGAAACCATAAAATAATGAAACCATAACCAATAAATATAATATTAATTCTGAAGGATAAATTTATTCATAAGGATAAAGCATGTATGTGTGTACCCCGAACAAACTATACACAAATATTATCCACATTAATATAATAA